TTGCACTGCACTGGGCACCTGCCAGGGGCTAAATATCCCAGCTGCTTAGATAATTACATATTTATGATTTTGCCGAGAATTCTTAGTCAAAGCTTATTTTTGAACTGTAAAATGCTTAGAGAAACAGGAGAGAAAGTTCTCTGAGAAATGCTACTTCAAAACAGAGCCAACACTTCAATTTTTTTAAAGGACGTTAATTTCCATTTCAGTTGATTCATTCAGTGGTGAACTTTAATGGCAGAAATAGGAGAAAAGGGGTGTTTTCCCTCAGTCAGAAAGGGATCTTGCTAGTGTGTTTAACTTGTTCTCTATAAAGAAACAGAAAATTCAAAAACCCTTCCAAAACTGTTCAGAATAGAGTACGTACAATTTTTAACGCTTACCACAGTCTGCACCCTATCACATGATGGAACTTTTCTTTTGTATCACATTATCAGCAGTATTTCATCTTCCACACATAAACCACTAGATTAGCTAATTCATGCTGATCCAATAAATAGAACTGAATAGAACTAATGTATGAACATTTTGAAATATAACTGTTTAGCCACAACCAATTATCACACAAAATACATTGCACTTCACCTTCCCTCATTGATAACAGCAACCACTGATTTCAGAAGGAGCAAAACAGTCCAAAATTTCATGCTGTCAATTATTTGAAACTATTTCAGAACCTGCTAGAAATATTTTTTTTCCTTTTAAAGCTACACTCCATAAACTGTACAACCAACAGCCTCAACAATAAATTTCACGAGCACTTTTAGACCCTACTGTTCAATGTGCTTTCAAGCTTGCTTAGCTTTATGCATGCAAGAACTCCTTATTTATATTGCAAAAGAACTACTCCTACACTAAAAGTTACATGCAGGCACATGCATTTGTATTTCATAGAATAAGGGCCTTAGTCTTGCAGGGTTATTTATTTTGAATCAATTATTCTAGGTTATTGAGGGCAACATCTTTAGTCCTGTCAAGTTTCATAAACTGTGGAAAGCAGGGGTCCCTGCTCTCTGCATGACAACCAACCTTCAGCTCCGCCACCTCACAAAGAGCTGCTCATCTGCAGATGCTCATTTTATACACCTCTAGCTGAGAGATGCCATTCAGCTCCTCTTGAAACAAAGCCAGTTTTGCAATTCCAGTGCAAAAACCTTGGAGCTAGAGGCACAGACCTCCAGCTGCCCTTGGCAGGTGCCAGCAGAGACAAGGCTTCCACACCAAACCCAGCTCTCCAGCTCATATTCCCTCCCTTGGTTGTGTTCCTCTGCATGGGGACATTTCAACATAGTGGCCTGGCAGATCAGTACTTGGATGGCTTTAGCTGCTGGGGAAGCATGGGCTAATAGTTAAATCCATTTATTCATTTACCTGTCTTCTAAGGAGTGTGAAGGTCACAGGACTACCTGAAGGCACCACACAGACATTTGAATTAAAAACTACTTGCTGCAGTCTTGGGGAAATTTTTGCAGACATCTTCCAGTGCCTTCACTTTACTCATTCTCCCCAGCTCCTCCAAGCCCTCCTGCTCTTTCTGAGCTAAATCCCCTGTAGGTAATTACACTGAAAGGTTGCACCTGTGGATTTGCTGGTCCAAGAGACCCAATGCCTGCAGAGCTGTCCTGTCCCATCTCTTATGAGTAGGAACAGTTGACATAATACACAATAGGTGTGTGACACCCTCATACACAGTATAATGTGTTCACCTAGAAGTAGGCAGCACTGAAAATAATGGATGTAAATCACCTACTTGGTATTCCCCCCAAGACTCTGAGGACATGCCTTAGCTGTTGATGACTCTGCTTGCCTGGGGATTGGGTAATTTTGTGCTCACTGCCTATCCTCAGACTTTACCTGTGCCAGCTTGTAATAAACAATAACATTCTCTATTCTCTCCCGCATTAGACCTTTTTAACTGATCAGGGTGTTGATCTTTGTCAAACCACCCATGTAAAGGCTCAGAACCTGGACACAGTGTTTTCCAGGATGCCTGTGAGAAGGCCAGCACATGGCCCAGCTTGAGTCCTTCCCAGCCCTTTCTGGTTACCTCTACCAAATTAAATCCATCCCAACAAGCTGCCATAGGACAGTCACAAACTGGTAGCTCCCACCTTTCTGTAAGCTCCAGGGTTTTGCACAGTCCATTCTGTATTTCTAAATTTAGATATACACCTGTATGTGTGTATAAATACATGCACAGATAAACACACTCCTATATTCCCACATTATTTATGTGAACACACAAACCTGCTCCAGTGACTCGCAAAGGCAGAAAGGCAAACTGGTTTGCTTCCAAAACTCACAAAAAAGCAAGACACAATGGAAAATCTTTCCTGGGTAAGCTACAAGTTCCATCACATAATAAGAAAATGTATTTGCTAAAGCCCTTGTTGAAATCCTGATGTCATCATTTGCTTAGATCAAAGATCCAAGACTTCAAATTTTTATTTCCGACACATTAATTCTTGTGACCACAGAATAAGTACCCAGTTATCAGCCTCTAAATGAACCTTCAAAATCCTAGAAAAGTAGCATTAGACATTTACTTTCCTGCAATTACCAGGCCTTTTTCATTAAGCCTTTGCATCTTGCCTTTGACATTGTGAGGAACATTAAATTTGGCTGGAAAAATGGGAAGGAGAACTTACCCCCACTGAATACAGCCATGCTATATCACATTATCAGTAATTTAATTTTCTAAAGAATTGCCAACAACTACAATAATTTTTAAAGAGTAACTAGCATTTTACCCTATTTGGTTTATCAGTTAACATATACATATATATGCATGTCATAACATAATACGATGCAAAAAATAAGCTTCTTTTAATTACCTTGAAAATTGAAAATCTAAGAAAAGAACAGAAGAGGATGGAGTACATGTAAATTGTTATTTTGGGTGTTTTTACTACTAAGAAATGGAACTGACAATCAGGATTTAAACATGACCAAAAATGCTACAACCATTTCTCAAGGGAATCAGAAGTTAATTTCTTATTCAAATATATGTGTTGAACATGGGCAACCATGGTTAAAGCAAAGTCTTTCTGGGGGATGTACAAAACCTGCTTTTTTCAGCAACCACTAGCCCACACTTTGTTTACACACAGCAAAGAAAAAAACATAATAAAAACCTCTAAAAGTCTTTTTTACTGTATAGGTTTAGTTACAATTACTTTGGGGATGGTAAAAATGTGTCTAGCTTGTCTCTTAAATCTACATTCAAACTATCTCAAAGTTAATCAGAGGTGAGTAATGGCTTAGAAATCTCTTGAATAATAAAGTATAACAACTTAGAGCACAAAAACAGCCCTCAAAGACAAGAGTGGGGAGTACTTCACTTCACTGCAAGTAACAGTTGAGTATGTTTTATGATCACTGTAACAACTACCATGCCCTTGAGACTGTGCAATTCTGAATTTCTAATATAATTTGTAGGGGGAAAATTAGGACAAAATGCAGTAACATTTCAAGTACAGGCTCACAGTATTTTAAAATTTTATGAAGTATAAGGACTAGGTTAATATGAAATGAGTCATGTTTTTAAGAGAGGCAGTAATACAGATCAGTATCTTAAATCATAACTAAAATAACACTCAACCACTACAAAACAAAAAGAAATCAGAGCAGCTTTTTGCTGGAAAAAGGTCAACAACAACAACGAAGATTTAACAATACTAGAAAAGGCCGAGAGCACTGCTCATTTCAGGACCAAGAAGTTAAAAAACCAGTCTGAGTGACCAGGTAAACACTATTCTTTCTCACTCAACAAATCCATTCCCACCTGAAGTTCACCTCAAATTAATATAAACTCTACTCATATAAACTCTGAGCCTAAAAACCAGACTATTAAACAACATATATTCTTGGTGCAGATCTTCTGATTTCAGAGGTATATCTGCTTTACTTTGTGACAAATATATTACATTTCACTCCATGATGTCTTTGGGAGTTAACAGAATTGCTCACTACCTCAAAGTGAAGGAGTTACATCCAAGCAAATTCTCTTTGAGCATCATTTTTCCTCACAGGGCAACGACAGTGGAGTTGCAAAGGTATAAATAAGTGAGGCTGTAATTGATTTACATATTCTTTAGATCCATTTCCACATGCAAACCAATGGAAATCAGCTCAGCTCTCAGATCCAAAATTGAGTTTTCAAAGCAAGTGGTTCAAAACATTACCCCTTTAACTTCTGTACTGAGCACAACAAGAGAGAGAGGCTTTAAATACAGAATTCACCCTGGCACTTTATGCATTTAATTCTTAAGGCTAATGCTGAAGGTACCACTCTTGCACACCTCAACTGTGACAACACAAGATACCAAAACTGCTAGAAAAGAGGTTGTCTGATCAAAGCTGAAGCAGCAGGTTCCAGTCCTTCCCTTCAGGCCTCAGCTCTGCTTTCCATGTGCACAGCTATCAGGAAGCACCAGCAAACCATAAGGATAGCCTGGAAATATGAATTTGCAGCAGTCTGCAACACTAACATTCAGAGATGGAATAAGATTGCCTTTTTCTACAGAAGATTTTAACTTCACTGGTCCTACACTGCCAAATGGGCTGAAGTAAAATACACCTGACAGTGCAGAGCTGGTTTGGGGTTTTTTATTTCTGTTAGTATTGAAACAAACTGCAGAGAGCACCCAAGTGGGGGCAACAGAACCTTCAGCTTGGATAGAGCTCACCCCAAACAGGTTCTTGGCCAAAAGAGGAAGCAACACCAGTTACCAACAGGATGAGCTATGTTACTGTCGAGTCACACTTCTCACTTCAAAATTAACATGCTGCCCTACTTTCCACAGGATAAAACCAGGTGCAATTGTAATATTTCTGTCAAACAGCATAATGGTCTAGATGTTCCTTAAAAAATGAAAATAATCCACTTGAATAGTAAAAAGTAGTTATTCTAAATACACTGTTTGCAGTGTAAGCCTGCTAATGGCAGGTGTGCAGAGAGAAAAACCACACCACCTCTAGTCAATTAAAAATGTACTTACCATTGGCAGTGCATTGATATGCAGAAGTTTTCCTTTCGGGTGTCTCTTGCCACAGAAGGGTGATGCTGACAGAAAAATAAGGAGACAAAATAGGAAATGTTAGTATTTATTATGTTGAAACCACAGGTACTGACACATAAATATTTTGAAAAGCTCCAAACAAAAATCAACATTCCAATGGTATGACTTCCAAAATGGTTACATCCACTGTGAAGCAGTAAAAGAAAAATCTGTTTTCCCAACACATCTTGCACGAAATAACTCAATTTACGTACACAGGTGTGCCCATGAGCCCAAAGAGTTACCAACTCCTGCAGTGACCTCAGTAATTAAAGAAAACAACCAGCTCACACTAATTGCTAGCAATGCTTGACAACATGTAAATAACATAAATCTTCCTAGTGCAAAATTCAAGAGAACTCTTGTCCACCTTTAAAACCCAAACAAAAACATAATCTAAACAAATCCACACTCTCCTACATTTTAATAATTTTCTTTACAGGTCAATAGTAATTTTATGCACCCTACAATAAAATAACTAAGTGTGAGCACACAGCTTTTGATGTCCAAATATGAGGTAACTCCATCCCCTACAACATGCATTTTTATTCAGCAGTGACAAGTGATTTTTATCCACACTAATATTCCTGAGTGGTTGCCCTCTATACAAATACTTGCCAGACGACTTTTCTTTAGGACATAATCTAATCACCCACTCAAAGAGCAGGAAGGGTGACAGATGGACATGGGTGACTAATGAAGTATTACCAGACTATTTTTAGATTAAATTCTTTACCAAGCATCTGCAACCTGTGGTCAAAAAACTTTTACTATGAGTAAAGAGTAACTATAGTTTGTGGGACTCATGATTAACACAAGGTTCTCACGTGCAACTTTCAAGCTCAACCAGCAGGAAATCATTCATTATAGAGCCATTTTTGGACCCAGCCCAAAAAAAAAAAAAAAAAAAAAAGAAAAGAAAATGGCTGCACCATTTGGGCTTATTTTATTCTTAAAATATCCCACAAGGCAGGCAGTATCACCTTCACAGTGCAAGCAAGAGGTACTGCAGAGGATGCTGAGGAATGCAGGAATGCTGGGAATTGAAAGAATTTGCAAACACGCTCTTATTTCCTTGCTTAGTAGTACTTGTGCTGCAGAAAATATGTAAATAGGCTGAGTGAAACTCCACTCCTCAAGAGGTACAGTATCCTATGCAAGGCTACTCAGAAAGCTTTTTTTTTCCCACAGCCAGAGCTGCTGACCAGCTGAGAAGATAAAGCTTTAACACCCGCTCTGCAGACCCCATAAAAACATTATTTGCTTATAACGAGAGTTTTCCTTAAAAGCAGAACAAAACAGCAACCAACCAATATTCTCTTGAGAACAATCTAAATAATGGTAAAAGCTGTGTGCAGAGAAAGGCAGAGGAGGGCCCTGCTTCTGAGTGTGACGCTTGGTTTGGGTTATTCCATTTGGGAAGGAACATTGCAAACATAAATAAAGGGTTGATTGCACAGATATAAACCATTTTCCTCAAGGAAAAAAAAAGGCTTTCTTCAGTACACACTGCCCAAACTGTCTCCTTCCAACACCTCTTTGCCCTTGTGCAATCTCGAGTGCAGTACTTATCATCGAAGCCAGAGAGGGAAACCTTTCTGCCTGATCCGTGGAAGAGGCTTCTTGTCCTTTGCTTTACATCTAAACAGGGCAGTGACACGGAAAGAAGCTGGAAGCAAAGACTCAAGAGAGCAGAGAATTAGAAAAGAAAGGGTTCACTGACTTCACTTCATTCCTCCTTCAATGTTAATTGGTTGTAGGCTCCAGTTTTAAATAAGGGCGCTTGAAGCGATGTGTAAACATTTAGAAAACTCTGCAATGTCCTTCTTCAGAATCAATTGCTGAGTACAAATGCCTCATCAGCAGCTTTTTTCCTTTCCAAATTTATCTTATTGGATTTTGGCATGTACCTTGAAACAATGCAGGTGACAGTTATAATTTATTGATTTCAGACTATCTCTCACTTTATATTGCACTGTGTTACGCTGATTTAAACAGGTGCCCAGATGCAGTTGCAGCTATTCTACATGACACTTAAAGGGCATCTGGTGGATTATTTTTAAGTTGATAAGGCACACCTGGGGAATGCACAGCAGCTTGTGAGTTTGGATCCTTCATCTTGGAGGGGCTGGGAATGGCTCACCACTGCCTGATGATGTGTTCAGCATCAACTGAAAACTGCTTCACTCAACTTGAAAAGAAAGATTATTTTGATGAACACAGTGTGTGCTCAGAGCCAGTGCTTACCAGCCTTGCCCACACCAGTTTTTTCTGCACAAAATGACATAACTGATGCCCATATCCCTTGGAGATCTGGGGCCAAACACTTGGTACAACACCCAACATCATCTCCCTGTGCAGAGCATCCTACCCTGCTGGGGTGTACAGAGACAGTCACACCCCAGGCCTTAAACACAGCCTGCATGAGTCAGGCAGTTCTCACCTGCAGGGCTAAAACCAAACCACCTTCATCAAAGCAGCAAATACCCTTCCAGGCTGCCTGCACAGATTGGGCTGCTGCTATCAGCCAAGCAATAATCGTGTGGTGCAAAGGAAACCACAGATAAAAACAACCCTGGCACCAGCACAGTGACAGATCTGGTTATAAACACACAGACCAGATGTGCTCTGATGTTAGTCCTTACCTGCTTCCAAACACAATCGGTTCAAAGCAAGGATTTCTCTAAATGCTACTTGCAGAAATGTTTAACCATTTCCTTCCAGAAATGCTGCTATTGGTGCTACTTTCTCCTTCCCAGACATTACACTGCGTATGTGATATGGTTAAAGCAGTGTTTTTTGCATGAGCTCTGAATTGCTCCTGTTCCCCATGTGAACTTGTGCTTCTTTCTAATCCTCTTAGGATCACACTGTTTAAACTACTTTCTGAGATTTTGGTGCTATTTGAGTTCTAACAACAAATTTAGCCATGAGATGTTGTGCTTTCCGAATCACAGAAGCCTTCTAAGGACACAGTATCTTTTCTTCTAAATTATCCTTGAGTATCCTGCTTTTATCTGAATTCAGTATCTGGAAAAAGTGTCCCAATCAAAGCAGAATTAAAAATAACTAAATCCTAGATATTCCCCTCAGTAACTAGGCTGCAAAAACCACGAGACAATAACTTTAAAAGCCTAAATTGAAAACTAATCACTCCATTGAATCCTTCCTTTCATTTGGTTAATAGGCACATACAAAGCTAATGGTGATTCTACCACTGCTGTGCTTGGAACATAAACAGAGAAAACCAAAGTTATTTCTTTTAATCACAGTTCCACAGTGATGTATGGCAATAATTTTTTTTAAGCAATTCAGCACATCTACAACAACATCTGCTTTTCAGATCTAAGAGAGAGGCTAAACTGAGACAAATACCAGCTCAGAAAATTCAGGAGAAACAAATACATACAAGTGTGTGTGGGGGGGAGAAATCAGCACCACACAGAAGATATCGTTAAGAAGTGTCATTACTTGAAAGTGGTAGGTAGCAATAGGGTTCCTAGTGACAAAATAACATACACAGACTGCTCCTGCACTTCACTCTGGGAGCAGGGCGTGGGCGAGGATGTTTTACAGGAAGCACTGAAAGTATGTAAGACCTGCCCAGAGACATATCCACACAAACTCCTAAACTCTACCTGAAACAGCTCTTCTCTGTCAATGGAGAAATTTTTATTTTCTGATCTTTGTTCTTCTACCTTTATTCCATCAAAAATATAGAAAAGCCTGATGTAAGCTGACCTTCCAGATGTTTCAAAGAAGAAATGCTTAACTTGTACATTCATATCATATTAAAGCTGCACAACTTTCCACACTTCAGGAACACTCTTACATAGAACAAGAACCTGTATGTCCATGGACATAAGTGAATCAACTGCTAACACAAAGGGTATCTGAGGGGATAAAGAATAAGAACTGGGCAAGCAGACAGCACTATTCTGGAGAAAAGTTCATCCAGATGCAGAAACCACTCATTGCAAGCCCACAGATTCACTGTGCAATGAGAAACACAGGACAAGTCAGACCAGGGCAAAAGAATACTGCAGAAATTTAAACACCAATTTCTGTAACAGTCGAAAACTGAGGCAATCACAGAAAATAGCTTATAGCCCACTGAAAGGGAAGAAAGCTGAATTGCTGGAGAGGAAACCAACTCAGCCAGCTCCATTAAAAACCCATAATGCACCCCAGTAATCTTGTCAATACCAATCAGCTGGTAGGAAGGCAAGCAGCACTGCAGCACCATTTCCCTTGCAAGCATTTAAATGAAATTCATTAGCAAGTAATCCAATTCACATAAACTGGAAGTTAGAAGGTCCTAGAGAATGAAGTTAAACCCAGTCTAGACTGGGAAAGAGCATAAGGAGTTGTTACCCAAAGCACTCTTATGCCAAAGGACCTTAGAGCACTCACAAAACCCCGACTGCTACCTGCAGGATGGGGGCCCACCTGTGAAAATTCAAGGTAGTTTCCAATTTATGGAGTTTTTCTTCCAACAATAGCAGACATGATGACTACTGACATATTGATCAAAACAGCAGCATATTGACAAATATTTTTCTGTGTTTTTAATCTAGAACGGAGTTTTAAATTTACATTCATCACTGGAATATTAATCAGCTAAAACAACTTGTCAAACTGGGTGCTCTTAGCAGACACACTTCAAATAGGAAAGAGAAAAACATTTTTCCTTCTCTAAAAAAAAATAAAAGAATAAAAAGCTGATGTGTAACAATTAGGGGCCACTGTTATTACAGATTTCAAATACATACCTAAAACACTGAACCGAGACACAAAAAGCCCAAAAACATGAAACAAAACAATTTTAAAAATCAGAATATTTTTTCCCATTCCTCAGAGCAAGAACAGACATATTTCCCATATATTAACTCAGTCTTCTGCAGCTCACTAAATGAACTCAGCTGCACTGGTGGGTGAGAACCCTTCCATTCTCCACTCAGAACTCAGACCCAGTGAACTCAGACAAGCTTACACAGCTGAAGGA